GAAGGTGGAGGATAATAGTGGAAGGTGGAGGATTGTGGAAGGTGGAGGATTATAGTGGAAGGTGGAGGAGGAGGATTATAATGGAAGGTGGAGGACTATAGTGCAGGAAGTGGGATTAAGTGGAAATTGGGATTATGGAAGGTCGGATCCTGGTCGGTCGGATATCGGCGTCGGTTCGTCGTCGGAAGGTCTGGAATGGATCTGGTCGAAGGATCGTCGGATCGTGGAAGTCGGGATGGAAGGATCGTCGGTCGTCGTCGTGGATCGTCGTCGGATCGTCGGCGTCGTCGGCGGATCGTCGATAAAGGATAAATTAAAGGATAAGGATCGTCGGTCGTCGTCATGTCGTCGTCGTCGGTTTCGTCGTCGTCTGGATCGTCGTCGTCGTCGGCGTCGTCGTCGGCGTCGTCGTCGTCGAAAAATAAATGTCGGCGTCGATAAAATCGTCGTCATCGTCGATCGTCGATCATCGTCGGCGTCGATCGTCGATAAAGTCAGGTCGTCGTCGTCGTCGATCGTCATCGATCGATCGTCGTCGTCGATGTCGGCATCGTCGACGTCGTCGTCGATCGTCGTCGTCGTCGTCGGAATCGATCGTATCGATCGATCGTCGTCGATCATCGATCGTCGATCGGATCGTCGGTCGTCGGATCGTCGATCGTCATCGATCGATCGTCGATCTCGATCGTCGATCGTCGATCGATCGTCGGCATCAATCGATCGATCGATCGTCGATCATCGTCGATCGTCGATCGATCGTCGATCATCGTCGTCGGATCGTCGTCGTCGGATCGTCGATCGATCGTCGATCGATCATCGATCGAAATCGTCGTCGATCGTCGATCGTCGGCGATCGATCATCGATCGATCGATCGTCGGATCGATCGATCGTGGATCGTCGATCGATCGTCGTCGTCGATATCGATCGTCGATCGTCGATCGATCGTCGTCGGATCGATCAATCGATCAATCGTCGTCGATCGAAATCGATCGTCGGTTTCGTCGATCAGCGTCGGATCGTCGATCATCGATCGACGATCGTCGATGTCGATCGTCGTCGGATCGATCGATCGATCGACGTCGTCGTCGTCGATCATCGATCGTCGTCGTCGTCTCATCGATCATCGAATCAATCGATCATCGATCGAATCGTCATCGATCATCATCGATCGTCGGCGATCGATCGGCGTCCTGATCGTCGATCGATCATCGGCGATCGTCGGCGTCATCGACGTCGTCGTCATCGTCGGCGTCGATCGTCGGCGTCGTCGGCGATCATCAACGTCGATCGTCGGCGTCGTCGTCGGTCGATCATCATCGTCGTCGGCGGATCGTCGGCGTCGTCGACGTCGATCGTCGGTCGTCGTCGGCGTCGGATCGATCTCGGATCATCGTCGGCGTCGATCGTCGGTCGTCGGATCGTCGTCGGATCGTCGATGGATCAGTCGTCGTCGGTCGATGTCATCGTCCGTCGGATCGTCGGTCGGATCAATGTCGTCGGTTTCGTCGGCGTCGTCGGCGTCGATCGTCGTCGATCTCGTCGGATCGTCGGCGTCGAAGATCATCGGCGTCGTCGTCGTAGAAGATCTCGATCGTCGTCGTCGTCTGGAAGGATCAATTAATGGAAGGTCGTCGTCGATCGTCGTCGGATCGTCGTCGATATCGGCGTCGAAGATCGTCGGTCGATCATCGGTCGTCGATCGTCGGTCGTCGTCGGATCATCGGCGTCGGATCGTCGAAGGTCGTCATCGTCGGATCGGCGTCGGATCGTCGAATCGTCGGCGTCGAATCGTCGGCGTCGATCGGTCGTCGATCATCGAATCGATCTCGAATCGAAATCATCATCGGCGTCGATCGGCGGATCGATCGTCGTCGGCGGATCGTCGGCGTCGATCATCGGCGTCGAATCATCGGCGTCGATATCGGATTGGTTGGTTGGATTATGGTTGAAGGTTCATCGGCATCGAAAAATCATCGGCATCATCCCATCAGCGTCGAAAAGATGTATGAAATAATAAGAAAGATGCAAATAAACAGAAAAATGTATAAAGACAAATGAAGATTAAACTGATGAAAGATACAAATTAAATTAAATACAAAGTAGAGAATTAGAAGATGCTCTAGAAGATATAGAATATGAAGGGTACAGAATGGAAGGGTGCAAAGTGGAAGATGCAAGTAGAAGTGGAGATTATGAAGTGGAAAGGTGGAGATTAAAGGTGGAAATTGAGTGCAAAGTGAAGGTGGAGGATTATGTGGAGGGTGCAGTGGAAAGGTGGAGGATTATGAAGTGGAAAGGTGGAAGGTGGAAGGTAGGTGGAAGATGGAAGTTGAGATTGCGTGGATGGTGGAAAGGTGGAGGACGCAGGTGGAAGGATTAAGGTGGAAGTGGGATTATGGAAGTGGAAGTGGAATTATGGTTAAAGAAATTAGAAGTGGGGAATTGTGGTAGTGGAGACAAAGTGGAAGATGGAGATTGCGGTGGAGATTAAAATTAGGGGATGGATAAATGGAAGGATGAGATGTGGGGATTGGAAGATGGAAGGTGATGGGTGGTGGGGTGGAGGATTGGTGGAAGGTGGAGGTGGAAGGTGGAGGTTGTGGAAGGGTGGGATTCGTGGTGGAAGGAGGTGAGGATTATGAGGTGGAAGGTGGAGGATAACGGTGGAAGGTGGAGGATTATGCTGGAAGGTGGAGGTAAGGTGGGATTGTGTGGAGGAGGATTATGGTGGAGGAGGAGGATTATGGTGGAGGACTATGGTGGAAGGTGGAGGATTGCTGAGGTGGAAGGTGGAGGATTATGGTGGAAGGAGGAATATTATGGTGAAGGTGGATGGCTTTGGTGGAAGATGGAGGGTTATGCAGAATGTGGAGGATTATGGTGGAAGGAGGATTAGGGGTGGAGGATTATGGTGGAAGGAGGAGGATCAATGAGTGGAGGATGGGGAGGACAAATGGAAGGGAGGAGGGATTATGGTGAAAATGGAAGATCGTCGTGAAGAGTCGAGGTTGGTGGAAGATGGACGTCGGCGCGGATAAATGCGTGAGGTTATAATGGAAAGTGAAAGAACCATGGTGAATAAAGAAGAATGCGTGGAATGAAGAACTAATTATGGTGGAAAGGAGGTAAAAGGAGGATTAAAGATAAAGATGTCGGTAGAAGGTCGTGGAAGATGAAGACCATAGTAGAAGTCAGATTATGAGTGGAAATTAAATGATAACCGTGGAAGGTCGTCGGCGTCAGAAGATAGAGAGAAGATAAGTCGAAGTAAAGAAGATCGTCGTCAGAAGAGACAATCGATCGTCTCGATCATAGCAAGGTCCCCGTCGGCGAAGGATCGTCGGCGTCGTTAAGATCATCGTCGAGATGTCGATAGAACCGTCGGCGTCCCCGTCGGTCGTCGTCGAAGGATCGTCGTCGTCGTCGGTCGGGATCGTCGTCGGATCGTCGTCGGATCGTCGCGTCTCGTCGTCGTCGTCATCGTCGGTCGTCGGTGGATCGTCGTCGAAGGTCTCGTCGGTCTGGAATCGTCGATCGGTCGTCGGTCGTCGGATCGTCGGCGTCGAAGATCTCGACCGTCGGTCATCGTCGAATCGGTCGGATCGTCGATCGTCCTCGATCATCGAAGGATCAAGTCGGCGTCGTCCCGTCGATCGATCGGTCGGCGATCATCGGCGGTCGTCGGATCGTCGGCGTCGATCGTCGGCGTCGATAAGGATCGTCATCGTCGTCGTCGTCGAAGGATCGTCGGCGTCGATCGTCGGCGTCGAAGGATCGTCGATCATCGGATCATCCGTCGGCGTCGATCATCGATCGTCGTCGATCGTCGTCGTCGATCGATCGTCAAGGATCGTCGGCGTCGATCGATATGGAAGTGGAAATGGAAGGATCGTCGTGATCCCCATCGGGATCCTGGATTGAGTGGAGTCATCCTAAGGTGGAAGGTGGAGGGATATAATGGAATGTTAATGGAAATTAGATGCAAAGGTGGAAGGTGGAGGGATTGTCTGGAGGAGGATTATGACTGGAATGTGGAGGATTATAGTGGAAGGAGGATTATAGTGGAAGGTGGAGGATTATGAGTGGAAGGTGGAGGATTATAGTGGAGGAGGTGGATAGTAGTGAAGGTGGAGGATTGTTGTGGAATGTGGTTATGAGTGGAAGGATTAGGGAGTATGAAGGAAGGATTACAGGTGGATAGTGGAGGATTATGAGTGGAAGGTGGAGTACTAAAGTGGAAGGTGGAGGTTATTGTGGGAATGTGGAGGATTATGGTGGAAGGCGGAGAATTGTGGAAGAAGGCTGGACATTGAGTGGAGGAGGAGGATTATAGTGGAAGGTGGAGGATTATGAGTGGAAGGTGGAGTACTAAAGTGGAAGGTGGAGGATTCTAGTGGAAGGATGCAGGTGTATAGAGGATGCAGGATAGGAGGATGGTGGAAGGATGGAGTGGAAGGTGGAAGGTGGAAGGTGGAGGGATTATAGATGGAAGGTGGAAGTGGAAGGTGGAATGTGGAGGATTGCAGGTGGAAGGTGGGGATTATAGAGGTGGAAGGTGGAGGATTATAGTGTAAGAAGGAGGATTATGAGTGGAAGGAGGGAGGATTATGGTGGAATGTTCAGGATTATGCTGGAAGGTGGATGGTGTGGAGGTGGAATGTGGAGTGGAGATGAAGTGGAAGATTGAGGATTATGGTGGAAGGATTATGGTGGAAAGGTGGAGGATGATGGTGGAAGGACCGAGGATCTGGATTGTGGAGGATGGAAGGATGGTCGTTATTGTCGGATCGGAGGAGGATAAATTAGTGGGATCGTCGAGGATCGTCGTCGGATCTAGTCGGCGTCGAAGGTCGGTCGGATCTCTGCGAAGATGGAAGATCGTCGGCGAAATGATTATAGTCGTCGAAGAATCGCGTCGAAGGTCATCGTCATCCATCGGCGTCGGAGTCCTCGATAGAAATATGCATCGGAGTCGTCGGCGTCATCGGCGTAATCACGAATGTCATCGTGTCATCAGGATTGAAAATTGTGGAAGAATCTCATCGTCGACTCGGCATCAAGATGTAGAAAAACGTCGGCAGAAAAAGATCATCTGAAATTAAAATGAAGTGAATGGAAGGTGGAGGATAATAGTGGAAGGTGGAGAGTTGTGGAAGGTGGAGGATTATAGTGGAAGGTGGAGGAGGGAGGATTATAGTGGAAGGTGGAGGACTATAGTGGAAGAGGAGGATTATAGTGGAAGGTGGAGGATTTTTGAGTGGAGGAGGATTATAGTGGAAAGAGTGGAAGTGACGTCGGCGTCGTCCTGGTCGGAGTCGTCGTCGGAGGATTGCATGAGTGGAAGGTGGGAGGATTATAGTGGAAGGTGGGACTATAGTGGAAGGATGGGAGGATTATGAGTGGAAGGTGGAGGATAAGAGTGGAAAGGTGAGGATTGTGTGGATTATAGTGGAAGATGGAGGATTATAGTGGAAGGAGGAGGATTATAGTGGAAGGAGGAGGATTATAGTGAAAGGTGGAGGACTATAGTGGAATGTGGAGGATTATACTGGAATGTGGAGGATTATAGTGGAAAGGATTATGGTAAGGACTATAGTGGAAGGAGAGGATTATAGTCGGAAGGAGGAGTCGAAGATTATAGTGGGAAAGTCGTCGTGGATGTCGAAGTCGTCGGCGTCGAAGATCGTCGATCGTCGAATCGTCGGCGTCGTCGTCGATCGTCGGCGTCGTCTCGGCGTCGTCGTCGGCGTCGGCGTCGTCGGCGTCGGTTTCGTCGGCGTCATCGGTGAATTCATCGGCGTCGTCGGCGTCATAGATTAAATCGTCGATCATCGGCGTCGATCGTCGGCGTCGTTTCATCGGCGTCATCGGCATCCATAGATCATCGGCGTCATCGGCGTCGATTCGTCGGTCGATCATCGGCGTCGATCATCGTCGATCATCGATCATCGGCGTCGATATTCATCGGCGTCATCGGCGTCTCGATTCGTCGGTCGAATCATCGGCGTCGAAGATCATCGATCGAATCGAATCATCATCGAGATCAATCGGCGTCGTCATCGTCATCGAATCATCGATCATCGATCGAAATCGATCATCGTCATCGGCATCATCGGCGTCGACGTCGGTCGTCGGCATTATATCGGCGAAATAGGGATTATAGGCGTCGAAGGAGGATCGTCGGCGTGAAAAGGTGGAATAAAGATCGTCGGATAATAGGGAAGTCCCTAAAGGATCTCTGGAAGTTATGGATGGAAAGGAGGAGGATTATAGTGGAAGGTGGAGGATTATATAGTGGAATGTGGAGATTGTGTGGAAGGTGGGAGGACTGCGGAGTGGAAGGAGGAGATTATAGTGGAAGGTGGAGAGTTGTGGAAGGTGGAGGATTATAGTGGAAGGTGGAGAGGATTATGGTGGAAGGTGGGGACATGGTTTAGAAGGAGGAGGTTTTTGGTGGAAGGTGGGAGTTATAGTGGAAGGAGGGAGGTTATAGTGGAAGGAGTGGAGGATTGCATGGTGGAGGTTGAGGATTATAGTGGAAGGTGGGAGATTGTGTGGAAGGTGGAGGGACTATAGTGGAAGGGAGGGAGGATTATGGTGGAAAGGTGGAGGATTATAATTGAAGGAGGAGGATTATGGTGGAAGGTGGAGCATTATAGTGAAAAGGTGGAGGATTATAGTTGAGGGGTGGGAGGATTATAGTGGAAGGTGGAGGATTATTGTGGAAAGGGGTTATAGTGGAAGGAGTTATCGTCGATACTTGGATTATGGTGGAAAGGTGGAGGGATTGCTGGTGGAAGGATGAGAGTTATAATGGAGGATTACATAGTGGAAGGTGGAGGATTATAGTTGGATCGTCGTTATAATCGTGGATCATTGGATCGATTATAGTCGATCGTCGATCGTTATCGGCGTCGGCGTCGGTCATCGAGGATTAAAAAGAGGCGTCATCTGGTGGAAGGAGGATTATCGTGGAAATCGTCGGAGGACTATAGTGGAGTATTATAGTGGAAGGTGGAGGATTATAGTGGAGGATGGAGGATTATAGAGGAAGGACATTCTCCAAATCAAAGGAGGAGGATATGGGTGGGGGCCTCTAAAGCCACTACAAGATTGGATAGCAATCCTGACACATTGACAAAAGACAAATAAATATCCATTTCTTGTTTATATGAAATCATTTTATGAAATTAGTTAATAAAAATCATTCAAAAATCAACAAGTCAACAGTATATGAGGACATAGTATATGACACTGTAAGTTCAAGCAGCAGCATATGGAGGAGGCGGCAGAGCTTTACCACAACTGATGCTTACCCTCCAGCTGTTCCAGTTCTCAGAACAAACACACACTCTACACACACACCCCATCCACACACAGAAAGGGTAGTTTATAACACGATGACATATACTGAGGTCACCAAAAAGGTGACACGATCAAGATAAAATTTAATCAAAATCTTGGGTACATAAGCCTTTTTAACAGCTATTTCATACTGTTTGACCGTCACCTACAAGGCCAACCAGTCATGTAAAATATTGCTTGGATAAATAGGAAGTCTATTGGGCAAGTCTGTAACAACTGCCATAGAGTGTAGTTGAGAACATTATTGAAGGGACGGTGCAAACAGATTAATTACTTTAATGAATGATTTTAAAAATCATTCTTACTTTGTTTTCTACGTTTCAAAACTGTAGAGATAAGGTATCACACCCATCACTTCATATAGTTGTGGTGGCCTCAATGACTTGAATCAAATCACACAAAAGTTTGAAACCAGCCATCAGTAAATCCCCTGCGCTGTGATGTTGTGTAGAAAATCCTTGGGATGCAGGCAATTCTGTAGAAAATCCCTGGGATTTCTTGGAGAATGCCCGAAAATCTGCCTGAAGAACTTTACTCGGTAAAAGGGGAAGCAGGTGAGACAATAGAGTGACATCCCTGGAGGCTTGTAAGTAAAGGATCAAAACTGACCAGTTTTATTGGAAATAGTGAGCCCATGGCAGAAGGAAATTGGGGAGGGACGATAGGTTTTGATCCAACATATGAACCGACCGAAGATATACTTTAGATATAATTATAATATTTGGTATTTACTGTTGAAATCACCTGGGACGCAACAAGCAGCCGATACCTTGCCTTGCACACACAATACGTGTGTTCTGCACACGCACTGCCCGCAATACCCGTCTTGTGAGGAACACATGGTTCATACTTCCAAACAATCTCATTCTTTACAGCGATCCTTCATAGCCTAGTGGATAAAACCGCCAAGCTGGTAAGCGATGATTGCAGGTTCGAACCCAGGCATTGGCACAATATATTTGAAGTCTTCATATTTTACGATCGTATTCATTAAAAGCAAGATGAAGTTATCAAAATAACAATTATTCAATCCCCGGAATGCAGGCAATTCTGTAGAAAATACCTGGGATTTCTTAGAGAATGCCCTTGAAACTGTCTGATGAGGTTTACTCGGTAAAGGAGAACCTGGCGAGACAATAGAGTGATGTCACTGGAGGTTTATAAGTTGACATGAAATGTCAGATTGAGCCAAGTTCACTGGTCAAGTGGTCAAAATCTTAATGTCCGTTGTTGAGCTAGGATATCGATCTGTGTAATGTTATTTCTCATTCCACTGGTTTGTCCTGACTGGTTACAGTGTGAATATAAGCACTGAGCAACAACTAGAACACTCTCATTGATTTCTCCAACAGTGTTGCGATGTCCTCCTCTTGAAAGGGTCTTGGGCAAAGCTTTGTTACTCGGTGCTGAAACATGAAACATACAAAATGATTTAGTCTGGGGGTCTTGCCAGGGCACAACAGTTGATGTTACTCAGTGCTAGAAAGGTCATGCATCAAAACATACACATAAATGTCATTTTCTGATTGGCTGAGCACTCTTCTATTATTTCAATGTACCCTGCTTACAAGCGGGAACATTTGCTATGTACCATGCTGCCAGATGAACCAACTACCAAGAGTTGATGTATCTACCAAATCGATGAGGGTCCCAAACCATATGCCACCCATACCAGTGGTCATAGAAAGGTCACTTGCATCAAAGTATATGTATCTCCACCTTTTGTGCCTTGCCTGTGTAAAATGTCATTTTCTGATTGGCTGAGCACTCTTCTATTATTTTCAATGTACCCTGCTACAAGGTGCCTTGAACTGTGTATTTCTATGTACCTGTGGTATGGTGCCCTGGAATAACTACCAGTGGCATGGTGCCCTGACTGTGTATATGTATCTACCTGTGGTATGGTGCCCTGACTGTGTATATGTATCTACCAGTGGCATGGTGCCTTGACTGTGTATATGTATCTATGGTGCCCTGACTGTGTATATGTATCTACCAGTGGCATGGTGCCTTGACTGTATGTATATGTATCTACCTGTGGTGTATATGTATCTATGGTGCCCTGACTGTGTATATGTATCTACCAGTGGCATGGTGCCTTGACTGTGTATATGTATCTACCTGTGGTATGGTGCCCTGACTGTGTATATGTATCTACCTGTGGCATGGTGCCCTGACTGTGTATATGTATCTACCTGTGGCATGGTGCCCTGACTGTGTATATGTATTTACTTGTGGCATGGTGCCCTGACTGTGTATATGTATCTACTTGTGGCATGGTGCCCTGACAGCGTATATGTATCTACCTGTGGCATGGTGCCCTTTACAAGGCTCGGAACATCCTGAGACTGGAAACCAAGATCTGTGAGTCCGTTTGGGGTTTCCAAGTCATCCATTATTTCCCTCAATCTGTCTGACAGCACCCGTCCAGCATCCCCACGCTTAACATTGCGTACATCAACACCTACAACATCACAGGCCATAACATCACAGACGACAACATCAACACCCCAACTGCAGACTACAACATCAATACACACAACATCACAGACTACAACGTCCACATTTGAAACACCAATGACTACAATATCACTGACTACAACATCAACACCTTCATCAAAGACTACAACATCAACACCTACAT